TCCTAGAAAGTTGGTGCCAATTTCAAGGTTGTGGTCTTTATTGTCACTGTAAGGTGGAAGCATTACATCCCAGTTTGAAGTTCATGTTCCCTGCTCGAAGTGTTCATAAAACACGGGGGTCTTGTTACAGCCGGTGCCGGGGCTTTCAATAACCAGTGTTGACTACACATGTTGCTCAGTGGGGGTGAAGCTAAACCTCTGCATTCATGCATTCGTGCCCCTTCCATCTGGCAGGAGGCTGCGGTCCATCAGAACCAAGACCTCACGCCACACGAACAGTTTCTTCCCCTCCGCAGTCGGGCTCATTAACAAAGCCCGGGTCCCCCACTGACTCTGTCATCCCCAGGACATTTCCTTCTGGTCTCTCCCCTGCACATCCCTGTTTCTTTATTTAAACACACTCGTCACTTTTAACATTTCACTTACACTTCACTTGTTTTACAGTCCTGTTATCTATTTTGTTGTGCACTTTATTTTATATTTTATTGTAAATTGTAATATGTTTCTATTTCGTGCACTGTGTTGATTGTTGTTGATAGTTTAATGTTATTGTTTATTGTTAAATGTTACGTACCACCCACCACGATAAATTCCTTGTAGGTGCAAACTTCCTTGGCAATAAACGGTTCTGATTCTGAGTCTGATCCTCCGTATGGTGTATATGTGTGTGTGTACCACCCTGATTGATGCTAGCTGTCTGTTTTATAGCCTGGAGGCAATGCTAAACGCTAATGCTTGCCTTCTCCGATCCAGAACAACTTTTAAGCTAGCCCTCACTACACCTTGATGAAACACGTAGGCTACGTGTCATTCTGGCTTCTACGCAAAACCTCTTCAAGACCCCTCCAGAGGAGGCTTTAAAATGAAAAAGACCATGGCAATGGTCCCCTCACAGTCCACTTAATGTTTAAAATATCATTTCATCTGCAGTTTAGAGTGTTGTATTTTGCAATGGTTCCATAATCCAAAGATATATCATTCATATCTTTAGAAAACATTGTTGTGAGTATTTATTGTTTCCGTTGTATTCTCAACTATTGGTGTATGCTGAAACTATTTATTGATAAATGGTATAATACAGTAGTAAATTGAATATGTCAGCTTCTTCTTCGGGTTTTTGGCTTATGACGGGCATTGTTGGTTAATGGTCATGTTAATATTAATAACTAACTTTGCCTTAAACATGAAACCAGGTTTCTGTGTAAGCTTTCAGATGGTTTGATTCAGAGAGATTTCTTAATGTCTTCCAGTCACTACAAAAGCTATTGTTTCACAGCCTGAAGGTAAGGATTGTAGTGCAAATGACCGAATGCAATTTGAGGTTATGATACTAAATTCTAGCTCAAAGGTGAAAACCTTCTGAAACTGATCCGTGGGTCTTGAGCAGTCTTGAGCCAGAAAAAGCAAAGCACTAAGGACCAACCGTTGGAAAGGCATTTTGGGTCAGACTACCAGCCTCACCACTTCTCCTGGGCACTTTGAAAGGTGCCAAAACTCCTGGCATTGGTTCTCCCTCAATCAGCATCGTACCTGCTGACAAGCAATACCACATAACTCAGAGAAGTCTTTTATGTTTCCATGTGGACCACTGGCTATCTCTGACGGAAGTCCACAAAAACACAATGGGTTCATTTGACAAAATAGAGGATTAGTGTTATCTGGAAACACAACAGGAGGTCGTACTCTAATGTGTGGTGCAGAGTCAAGTCCAGAGAGAGGTAAGCCAATCAGTCTAATCTCTTTAAATCAGCTGTGACAAAATGACTCTGAAACTTGGCACTAAGGAAGGCCAAGGTATTTGGGCAAATGGCTTCTCCGGCTGGTGGTGTGGCTCGGATGGAACAGTCACCCTAAGGATCCTGTTTCCAGTTTAGCTTCAATGTCCTCCTGACATATCCATTAGTCTCAGCTGATGAAACAAAGAACAAAAGGGCATTTTTCCCCTCAATGTGGCCACAGAGTGGAAGGCTGGTCATTCTCTGAGGTGATATCAGAAACTCATGATGAAAACATGTGTGGAATCAATGCTCATGAGGCCATGTGTTGTAGGCAACATCAAGCATTTGTTTGGCCGTTTGGGCCTTTGTAGACAATAGACGGTTACAAGATAATGGAGTGAGAAAGGGAGAGAATACAAGGCTTTAGACCCCGAGGCTATCACAACACGCCAAGGCTACCAAATTGAATGTGCATACAACAAATAAGGTGGACGACTGTCCACGCTCACTTTTGTACAAGAGAAGTAAAGCCTGACAGTAGAGGTCTTGATCGAGAACAAATTTGTGATTGAACGATCGTGTGAAGGAGCTTGTGAACAAACCCGACGTCCATAAACTAATATTTAAAACAAAGAGGCCTGTTCCAAAAAGTGTAGTCAGCCCTATCCAAGTAGGCAGGGAGAGTGTACGGACAGTTATTCCAGGGATGACACTGTTCATCCGTTAGTCCGCTATTAAGGTCCAGACTAATATATCTCAACTACTTGATGGATTGCAATGTAATTAGATACCGGCATCCATGATCACCACAGACGATGAGTCCTCATGACTTTGGTGATGTAATGGCTTTTCCTCTGGCCCTACCAACATTTTAACTTTGACAGGGTTGACTGACATTAAGTCAAATGTGTCAACGATGGTTTACCTTGAAATTGGCCCACCAACGGGTGAAAGTTTTCACTTATGCAGGAAATGACAAGTTTATGAGTCATTTCTAAAGACATTCCCATCAGGCACAGCTGTACTGTGTGTTAAGTGCTAGTTAGCATATTTCTGCCCGCTAGTACCAGCATGTTATTTCTGCATTGTCTTAGTGAGCATGCTAATGCATCCCCTTAGTCCAACACACTATTTAATTGGTCACATATGCAGTTTTACTTTCTCAAGCTGGGACATTTGTCTCTCAAAACGCTACCATGTCCGAGGAACCAGGACGGTGGCCCCGACCAGGCCTCCTCTCCTCTCTTAGGGACGTACCCCCAACGCCTTGGTGCTTCAGAAGTCTCACTTTAATAGATAGCAGTTCCTAAATGGTAAGATACTTGTGCAAGCACAGGATTCCCACACACTGGGACATAACCACCCACGCAAAGTCATTCACACCAACCCCCATTTCACACACAGCTCATCATTTAACCAGTTTTCACTGACTGAACTTCTCACAGGGGAAAAAAAAACAACAACATCCAACTCTGGAGTCCAACCCATAATTACATCAGATCAAGCCTGCAGACACTTAAACACTGGTTGAAATATTCTGTGTAAAAATGAGGAACTGCATATTAATGCGTGACACCATCTGTGCTCAATGTGTGGAGGAAAATATCTGCATTAGAAGGAAAAAGCAGGTGAAGAAATGGATTTCGGCCTGGCTTGGACGAGATTAAAAGACATCACGGTACCACACTGACATGTACTGACTAGAATTTCAAGAAAACAAGCTCACATTAACAGCCAGTCAGTGTCAGAGGAAATAAGCAGAGCAAGAGGCTGCAGTAAAGCCTTGGGAGCAGGAGGGGGTTGTGGGATATTATACGAGCTCTCAGATGTGTTTGTCTTGGAACGGCCTCAGAGTGATGTCATCATCATCATCATCATCATCATCATCATGGCTGTTGCGCCACTTCTTTGGCCCAGTAAATGACGACAGCACACATATCCACCTCTTGGGCAAAAGTTGCTCGTGTTGCTGTAAGTGCTTTGGATTCATGTTGAACGGAGCTTTCAGACGGGTCTGGTGAGCAGCTGCTGTCGGGCCAGATATTCAGAAATGGGATCACAGAAGAAATAGACAGTGTGGTTATGGCCCGATTATGAATATTCATTAAACAAAACATGCAATGCTGCGCTCACTCCGAAGAGTTCCCGTTGATCAACGTTGCATGAAAGTGAATTTCCCATCCAGTCAAGAGTTAACAGGAACACTTGGCATTTCGAAACCTCACAAACAAAAGCCGAGAGGAGAGGTCGGAAATGAAGACATCCACGGCCTCCAAGTCAATCCCGAGAAGACACCCAATTCCTTGAGTGCATGTGGGACCAAAAGACACATCACAAAAGAAACCGTTTCCCCCATGCAACTTCTTTATGCTGTCAAATTGGAAAGTCACCAAATGCTATGTGAATCGTACACAGAGACGACCAAATGACAAGCTGCTTCAAAAGTGACTCGTTAAGGTGCATAATCTCTCAAAGATGACAAGCCAAGATATCTCACAGAAAATGAATTAGCGCACGTAATAAGTGTGTAGATAAGAGCGGAAGGAACGGTGGGGACGCAGAGCAAAGCCTTCTGCTGAGCTCGCTGGAGTTGCGCAAGCTGCTGGCTGTCAGTCGCTGCCTGCACAGAAAATTAGATCCAACTCTGGGATTGCTAAACTAAATATCCACTGGGGTGAGGCACGGCGAAAAAGTGAAGTTCAGCATCTCTTGGTGGTGTAAATACTATTCAGTCGATCGTCGCTGGCAGCCAAATACTGTTACTGTAGTTCACTGTGAACATCCTGGAAGTTACTTTGTCCGCACATTGCACCTTATGCCCCCTGTTCAACCGATCGTACCTCTCAAGTGTCATTCTTAGAAAGCTGAAAAATGACTTGACATTGTTGTTGCAAAAGGCAGGAGACTGGCCTGCAGCCATACCGCTGCCTTTCCTCCACACGCCGACTGCTGCCAGCCAAACAGCACCTCTGGGTGGGGTTGAGCCCAGATAGGACATCAGGACATGGGGAGAAGAGGGTAGAGACAGGAGGGGGGGACTCTTGCGACAAAGGGGTTAGAAAAAGAGGGAGTAAAGTCAAGAGGAGGGAGACGGAGAGGTGCTGAGTGAGCATGGCTCTCTGTGATGTTGATGCTATTGATGGACTCAGACAAACAGGAAGGAGCCAGATGTGAGGCAGCTCTAACAACGAGCCACGCTGTTTTGATATTACCATCAACAATCTTCTGTTATGGATCTAAGAGACATGCTTGGCTCGTAAACAAAACAAAGAATCCACTCACCACTTTCGCTCTTCTCGATCACGTCCACCGTCTCGCCCGCCTTGAGGCTGATCTCCGAGTTCTCCTGCCTCTCGTAGTTGGCCACGGCCACGTACTGCTCCAGCACCATCGGCTCCGAGCTGTCAATCCCTGAGGGGAAGAAACAGGCCGTCAGCCACCTGCCCGCCGCGGCGCCCCGCGACCTCCTCCCCCTGTGACTGACTAAACCGCAGCCGCTGTGCACCCGGTACGCCGCCATAGACCCACCCCCAGCTCCCTGCCACCGTACCTCCCTGACCAATCAGAAAGCGAGCTCACGACTTGGTTGCATAGTCCCAAACGTCTGGCCACATAGCTGAGTCGACCCTCGGCCCACAGCAACGGACTGAGGAGCATCGGAGAGGAATCAAAACAAAAGGAGGGAACGGGAAGAAAGCGTTTGCGGGGGCTGCATCTCACACCCAAAGGGATCCATGACAGAATCCGAACTTTAAGATCCAACAAGAAGGAAACCGAGGAGTAAAAAAGAAAACGAGGAGAAGTGGAGGAGCCGCTAATGCTTGAGGGGAAGACTGGGGAGCGAATGAGTGGAAGACGTTTCCCTGTGGAAAATCAGCAGTGCGGTTGAGAGGAAAGGCCTCCCCTCCACTGCCTTTAGGAGCCAGCCGTTGGACGGCAAGTCGGGAGGGGGGGCACACACCAATCATGGTAGTCAGCACTGCTGGCCTTAAATAGAAACATATGAGTGGACTAGAGAGAGAGAGAGAGAGAGAGAGAGAGAGAGAGAGAGAGAGAGAGAGACTGGGTCCATGTTTATGTGAAACAAAAGAAGAAAGCAGTTGAGTTGGGGTTAGGCCACTCTGTTTTCTCTCTGATGTTTAACCCTTTCCCTGCCGGCAGAGTTCACGTGCTGCTGCTTATGTCATCTGATCCTTACGGGCTTGTTTGGGCCACAGAGAGATGTTGAGTATCAGTGATCAGGAACAGAACAGTTATACAATAAGAACAAATACATGGATGTTGTGTGGCCAAAGACACTCTGTTTCTACTGTACCCGTCCTACAATGTGATAACTGAGGTGGTGCAGAACAAGCTGATCACAGCACCCAATGAATTCAACCCGCTCACCAGACGGAGCACTGCTATTGGATAATTTAAAAGGCTGAGTTAGAATGACTCACTGATGCCGTTCATGAGCATTAGAAGTCGGCCGATAGTGGATTTTTACAGGCCGATATAATAAGAGATAATTTGGAGCAGGAAAAGGCTGATATACCCCCCCCCCCCCAGCAGAAAAAACAAACAAAAAAACAATGATTCTGAATGAGTCTTTTACAAACTGAACAAACTGTAGAGCTGAACCTCTAGTAACGCCTAAATAAATACATCTGGATTCATGAACATCAAACTACTCTAGTGATTAGAGTAGGGATGGGTCGTGACTTTGGAAATTCATGATTGTCCTTAAATGATAAATAAAAATGAATGAGCACTAATGGTCTGAGTCAGGATGTGAACCCTTGTCTTAGGAGTCAAACAAGAGGAAGTTGTTTGCATGATGCTGTTTAAATGGATCTAAAAAAATAATAATAGCTGGAGGTCTTTAGGACATCATGGGGAAATATTGCTATTGCAGATGAAACCATCAAAATGCACTCTGCTCATAACAATGAGAATATCTCCTTATGTACATCATTTAAATATTTTTTTCATGTTTCTACACTCAGAAATCTTTCGGATCAATATGTGTTTATTTAGTTTATTTTTTAAGTTTGATTTTATTGTCTTTCTAACATTTATGACACAATTGAAATACTTCTCATGGTTTATTGACTGGCATAACCTTTTAGCTCAGGTACAGATTTTAGGGATATGAAGCATTTGAAGGTTTTCCAATAAATTACACGAGTGGGTCAAATCCCTGACAAACAGCACATCCACCTGCCTCTTAATGACAACAACAGTGTTGGTGAGCATCAATGGACAGCATCACAGGTGACCTGCAGCGTTCTTTCAAACACTTCGGCCCTCCATCTGCAGTTAAGATTGGATCACATGGACAGGGGAGGGAAAAGCAGAGATGGTCCAAACAGAGCATGTGCAGCGGACTGATTTCAGCCAGAGATCCGGCTGAGTTAGCTTGTGAGCACCTGGCTAGCTGCTCACCCCTATCTGACATAAACAGATAGATCTTGGCAGAGGAGATACGGAAGATGCATGTCAGCACCAACAACGCGTCAATACAGTCTCTGATGAAGACGTGAGCGCTGGCTGATTGAGAAGTACGGAGCATTGTTCGTCAGCAGATCTCTCCATCTTCCCAATTACGACCGCATGCGGGACGGGGAATTCTCTGTCAGCCTCTTTGTCATTTTGTAAATGGGATCGGACCTTGAACATGTTTGTATTGAATTTGAATGTTAAGCTGTGCACGTTAGATGCCACTGTCCTTTAAGACCTAAGGGAAGAAGAACCAGATGAAGTCTAGCTCACAGGATTGAGTGCATCTAATACCATATCTTCACAGTGGCCTTGTAATATGTTGATGAGTGCAATGCAATCTTGCATTTCAGCAGCCTGGAAGAATAAAAAGTAGGCTAAAGCGTTTGTGCACTGCTTGAAACACAATCAAGCATCTCTCCATGGCGTTACTCCAATAACCAGGCAGGAAACACCGGGGAATGCTCATAACCTCCCTGCCTCACCGTCAGTCAGTCTGTCTTCAGACAAATAAAGAAAAGCTGCATGTTGTGGAGAACGTCAGCAGCCCACGAGGAGGGAGCAATCAAAGTCAGCCCGAGGTAATGAAGCCGCACAGATCCAGCTATTTAAACGCTTTATACTGTCGTAATGTAACCACGCCTTGTTGAGAAATACCATCAATCCTAAAGACCTGTTACAATACAGAAATCTGGTGCAACAAATGTATGAAATCAGGGGAGCGGTCCTCCGCGTTCTATACACTCAAATATGGTTTGACTTTGTTGTTCCTGACTCGTACTGACGCTGAAAGCTCTAATGGAATGTCTTTCTTCAACAATGCCTCCATCACAGTTAAATGTCTCAGCACTGGGGAAATGCTCAGCAGATGGGGCGAATCTTTCATTTGTGTGAAAGTGTGTGTGTCCATGCCGGGGAAATAAAAGTGATTTCCCGAGTTTATTTGCAATAGTGACAATTATGATTCCACTTCTTTCCTCTCGACTCATCATAAAGGCGATTGAGGTCACAGTGCAGGCAGTGATCTGCAGCCACGTTGCAGACAATATGCAAGGAACCAGACTTGACACCTCATTTCAGTCTGAGGCTCGCTGCCACATGCAGACCTAAGGTCCGTGCTCTGTGCCCAGCTGTTGTCGGCCGAGCAGGCCTGTGGAGATGGATGGGTAGACTGCACATATAGAGAGAGAGAGAGCGCCTGCATTTGAGCTGACGGGATGAAGGAGAGGATAATGACGGTGCATGCAAAGCAGATGCTGATAGAAAGATGCAGCTGGTGTGGCTCTCACAGCAGCTCATGCATATTCAACATGTTAGACACACAAGGCTACCTGAGGCCTCTTTCCTCGGGCTGTCTGTAAAGCCGTACATCCATACTGCAGACAAAGAGAAGGAAGGAGAGAAGCAGAGAGATTATTCAGTTGGACAGCATGCAGAAGCAACAGTATGGTAAAGCACACCTTTTATTACATCACAAAATATGAAGAGGCAGAGATAACCCGGGGTTGACTGCGTTTTTTGAGCTCAGTGTTTTTCTTCATGCGGAAGAGAATAAAGTGCATCTGAGTGTTGGTACAGTTCTATTGCAGACACTCCAGACTCAAACCCTCCCTCTTTCAGACAGCCAGATGCTGGCTCCACCCTTCCTGTGATCCCCCTCTCTCCATCTCTCAATAACGTTCTCCATTCTTTCCTTCCCTCTATCTCGACCTCCTGGAATGTCTGAGATGGGCGTCAGCCACTTCTAAAGTTCGTTCCTGACCCCCCCCCCCTCCAAAAAACATCTCAGCACCCCCAGCCAGGAAATGAAACGCCATGCATCGGAGACGACAGGGACAGAGGGGCCAATACTCAGGGTGCAGTAGATATAGCTACTGTGGTATATCTCAGGGAGGCCATGATTTAAAGTTTGATTTAGAGCCAAAATAATATTTTACAATATGTTTTTGTTCTACAAGAAGGAAGGTTCTTCACCAACACAGTCTCACTGCAAACTCTTCAAACCACAACGCTTGTTCAGTGGACCACAGCTTCACACTACGGTTCTCCTCTAGTGTCTAGACTCTAGTGTTTGGAACGTGTCAGGGCGTGTCACTTTCTGCTCGGTACATGTGTGGTTTCAAAATAAAAGTCCGACGTAGGTTCACTACTCAACAAAAATATATTTTGGGTAGAATATGTATTTCTGTGACTGCTGTTTTGTGACAAAACTAAAGTAAAGGGAGTCAACATGGTTTCACCTGAGGTGACCTTGTTCCAAGAGCTTGTTATAAGAATCTTTGATTCAGCTCTGCTTTATGTATGGATCCCTCAGGCATTTCAACACAAGAGGAATAGGATCGATTGTAGACACCATCCAAAACGGCAGTGAGAAGCATTGAACTGAAACAAGTTAAAAAAGGGTCCACAATAAAATTCCACTAATTTAGGTTCATCTACTGCTTTTTCCCATCCTTCATGACCCCTCCTGACCCCAGATATCCCTTCATCTCCCTGTATATAAATTATATGAACATGTGTAACATCTATATGTTACCCCTGTAGTGAAGCCGACGCTCCTCTGCGTCGACTCACGAGAGATAAAAAAAAGCCAAATCCCCAAGCCGTTACCCTCCAGAGCCTCAGGGGCTTCAGCTGGATTGATGTTGGCCCGAGAGAGGGACAGGGCTGGTCCCAGGTCAGCCAGGGTCAAACCTCGCTCACTAACGCCCTTGCGTGATTACTACACACCGGGCAGCTCTCAGTCCAGCGCTCAACATCTGATTGATATTAACTCTCTGACTCTGGGCCCTCCATGCCCTCCATGCTTCATTGCTCTCATGCTTCATTGCTCTCAGGTTTGGGTGATGACGTCACAAACCAACAGAGCCAGCAGTGTCTTCTCTGTCCCTTTGCTTGCTGGGGGTAATTTTTACTAGAATTCTGACCCC